TGTAGGTGAAGACCTGCAGAAGGAATGTATGGGTCTCCTGCGTATGGTTGATTCGCGGTCTCTCCTTGTCAACGGTGCAGTCCCTAGTGCTACTGGTGCTGCTGTGGTTGCCTTGGGTGAAGCTTTGGAGAAGTGTGAAGACGATAAGGTCGTTGGGAAGTTCGCTGACGTTGTTGTGGGCGGTACTGGAGCGGATATCTCGGACGACTTGCTTGGTGTGATGCCTAATGCCGGTTCTCGACTTAAGCCCAAGCAGTTGGAGAAGCTGGTGTCGCGGGCGTGCGCTACACTACCTGGCGCAGGAGCCGTTCGCTTCTTGGCCCGTGCTGATGGGATATCAATGAGGGTAGCGGTTTTATCGGCTAGTGGGGAGATGTCTAGTATTGTAATCAGGTTTTGGCAATGACGCTGCTACCGTTGATATCGGGTGAGGAGGCGGTGAATGCCGTCCTCGCTGGTGAGGCCCTGTTCCAGCAGACCACAGACCTCAAGCTTGCTGACAGAGAGGTCGCTCGGAAGGCTGTAGTCAATCCGCTATGCAAGTAAGTAAATTTCATAAGCCGCCACGGATGAGACCTTTTTTTCCACAGATTGTTGTCCGGCCAAGAACCACGTGAAGCGGCCCTAGACCTTGTCTGCTTATCGATCCTCGGCAACGTGTGCCAGAAGGCTGATTTGGCGCTTGTGAAGCCGGTGGTCTTACGAGCTGCAGCTGATAAGCAGCAGCTCTCGGCTGCCCTGCGTCTCTGTGGAGCAATCAATAGCATAGATTTACTGAGGGAAGCCCTTGGCCAGATCAAGGCCCCTCTGGAGACTCCTCAAACAGAACAGTTGAAGACAATCGTTAAGTCGATGGTTTCTGAGGAAGGTATTGCTGTGGTTTTGCGAGAGCTCACTCGACATGGTTGGTTGGCTGTTGTAGGTAGCTCGGCTGCTGAGGTGCTGGACGCCTTGGTCTCGGCGCCACAGGAGTCGGCCCGCCTGCCTTACACGGTCATCTGTGAGATTGCTAGGAGCCTCGACGCTAATGGTGCGGCTTTGGTAGTAGTAGTATCAATACGACTCTCCTGCGTGCCATCGTCCTCTTAGGTGCTGCTGTTGGCGGCTGATGCCCCACGTGGTGATGTTGAGACTTGGATCAGTGGTGAAGTTCTTCCATTGAATATAGCAGCTATGGTTCACGTAGGTTGGTGGTCTTGGTGGTGGCGTATCGACAATATGAAATTCAGAGAATGTTGCTTTTCGTACGCTCCTACCTGAATAGTGTGTGAATTTCGACAGTGTAGTGGTGAAGCTTGTGAGTTCCGCTGAGGAAACCAGATATGTACTCCGCGCTGGTGCTCGCATATCGGGTATTCATGCTCAGGCGCTTGAGACGGCACGGGCCCTATTCAAGGGCGAGGTCACCTTTGTTAGCACTGCTGCTGTCCAATACCGTACAGTATCTATTAGAGTGGTAATAAGGAGAAGAGGAGGCACACACTAGGGCTCAGGTAGATGAGGCTTATTGTCGTCGTCAGGTCTCGGCCGTAGTGTTGACGTTGACCAACTTGGGAGTGCCAGAGGGAACGCCAGAACAATACGCGTCCCTGCTGTTGGCCTTGCACAACGTTACAGGGGACGCTAAGAGCAAGAAGGCTGCTAAGAGCCGTTCTGTAGCTACGCAAGCTGCTGGTGAGTGTCTTGGTTTCGATAATGTAGAAGTGGCACTTAAGTGGAATACTTCGTCACGTTCGAGAGATGCTCAGCTGAAAGAAATTTAGCGGTTGATGATCTTAGGGAAGGTTGTGTCGAACACAGTGTGCCGTTTAGGTGCCCTTCTCAAGGCATTAGAGGCTGATCGCATCATAGCGACATTGATAGCTCTGGTGAAGAACCCTTCGAAGCAGCCAGCCTTGTTCACACAGATGGCTGATGCTATTGAGGAGGGTGCTACTGGGTAGTACTCATGTCTAGGGCGGCAGGGAAAATATCTGAGCTTCATCTCAGGTCCTGGCAGCAACAGTATCT